CTCATTCTTTTGGACATTAGCTGCTTTCTGCTTTTGATATTGTGAAGCACAAGAATCTTTGGGCTTGGCTCAAATGCTGGGTTGTATGTTTCTTGGACCAGGACACCGAATGAGGGTTTTTGTGCCGTCACAGACTGTTTGAAAATGTCAACCTGTGAGAACTGTTAACTGTGTAACAGTGGATCAGTGTGTGTATGACACGTTTCTCTGTGATCCTGGAGTGCATCAACTCATCATCACCTCATCTGTAAAAATGAGTTCAGCCAACCTTCAGATGAAGCTGTTTTCTGCAGCTTGTATCCACAATCTCATTCTCTCAGTCACTAACCAAAGCCAACAACATCATGAAGTAAAACAAATCAATAAGCTTGAGCTTGTGTGCTTACTATAATGTTTCCGTTATTGTTATTTATTGAACAACATTTTGATGTGCATAATAAAAGAACAGTTCTACGCAGTTAGTAGACAAAGCAATACAAAGACGTCTCTGATGATGAAACATTTTATTCAGACCTCAGCCAGCCATCGACACTTTATGGATTCAGTGTGCACATCATGTATTGAGTGCATGAAAAGGTCAAATCATTTATGGACAGTTTGGTGTTTAAAGAACAATCAGCCCCAAAACTGTACAAAGAAAAGGAACATGTTTCATTGTTGCTCTGCAGGTTCTGGTTGAAGTGTTTCAGAAAGGTTGTGTTGTCAGTAGGGTTCTCTGAATCTTGTGCAATCACTCTGATTAAAACACAAACAAACAATCAACAGCTGAGTAAAAAACATCAAGCACATCTATTTCAAAGAAACTATATTTGTTTGAAAATAAATCAAAGAATAACACTTACATTATATATAAATTCATTTCCATTACAACCTAAACAAAAAGCAGATAGTTTGTCAGTTAGCAGCTCAGATCCATAAACTTTATCAGTGAAGACTGATTCACTGCATTCAAAGATAAACCCACAGAGGAAAATCCTCTCTGTTCTTAAAGAGCCAGACTGCTTTTATTCCTCATGTTTTACTTTTATTCCATATTAACATTTGTTGAAGTTACTTCATTGTGTGTTTTGTAACCATAACAAACTGTTTTGTGTTGATTTGGGGGCAACTGGAACAAGTGTGGATGCTGCACACTAAATCACTTTGTTTCTGTGATAAAGAGTGAATCTCCTGCTTTGTGTGATGTGCTGGGACGAAGGCAGATAGATGAGTTTGGCTGTTGTAAGCTGGGGACAACTCTACATACTACAACTATTAAATCCAGTTCTTTGTATTCTTTAACGGCCAAAAAAGACACAGCTCAAAGTGGTCTAACTCAAAAAATTATCTTTAATTTTACATATTCCGGAAAAGGGAGACTTAGCACAGAAACGCCCGCTCAAATCTGAAAAAACAGCAGCCAGTCTTGCTATATATTTTTGCAGCACTTCACACAGTTTCGATACAAACAACTCCTTA